TAGAAGGTGTAGCTAGCAACGTGTGAGTGAGTAGTAGGGAATTTATTGTGTTTTGAGAAGATTCATCGCAGCTACACTCAGCCAGATAGCCACCACACATCTAGGAAATCGCTCGAGGGCCGTTTCGTTCTATTGGGATTCATCAGTAGCGCGCACCCACTAGTTCTGTCAGATTCGTACCCTTGACCTACGACGATTTCTTGCGCTGGACGTCGCAGAGGATAACCAACGGCGCCCTATCTGCTGCATCGAGCACGTTGGATAGGGTATGGATGCTACTGCTCAGGCCTTCCCGTCTTCTTATCTCCCTTCTTGCGCTTTTTCATCCCTATCGTCCCACTCCAAATTTATTTTTATCCCCTCCATTTTCAATCCCTCAATTCCTGGCCCTCCCCCACTTTGCTTCAATAGTCGCTTGTCTTCTAGTTTCAATTCACACAGTCGCAGGGCGTCGCTCCAATCTAGTCGACAAGTCCATATTCAGTTCGTCCATTTCTCTTTGGAGTCCTCGCGTCTCGCTATGACTGGCATGCCTCGACGTGCGCACTTTATTACTGTTTAGCCAACAGGCAGCACTTCCTCGCACACCATAGACTCTATCGATCGATATTTGTTGTCTGTCAGAAATCTGCCTGCAAGATTCGAACTCCGTAGTTATCCTGCGATCCGGCATATGGGACACTGGCGCCACATTATCATTGCACCTGTCTTGCGATGATGCAGCTTCAAATGCCGGTCAAGCTGGCGTCGGCATTGTTTCGAGTCCCCGGGCTGAAGTTGCCCTGATCGGTTGGATCCCGGTCAACAGTCGGATGTGCGCCGTTAGATTAGCTGGTTCATTCCATGATACGAAGTCGCGCGGGAACAAACGGTGCCTGTTTATCATTGCGGCCTACATCCCTACGAACTGTAGCACTGATTCGGTAAAAAATGCTTTCTATCAGCAACTTCACGATCTCCTTCGTTACAAAAGAATAACGGTTACTGTCGTGTTGACTGGCGATCTAAACACCCAAGTCGGAAATCGTCATATGATGGGCTTCATTTGGGCGGCCAACATGGTGTAGGCTCTTGTAATGATAACGGTGAGCGATTGCTACAGCTGTGTGAAGATGCTCTTCTCTTTCTAGCGAGAACCAACTTTCGGCACAACACACCCAGAAGCCTGACTTGGCACCCACCAGCTTCGCACCAGCCATGGACGCAAATCGATTATATCGTGATCACTTACCACTGAAGAAGCTGTGTCCAAAACTGTCGCGCGATTTGGAGCACAAGCGTGGACTCTGACCACGCACTTGTCTGCGCCGACATCCGGGTGCTTTTCGTTGGACGTCCGCAACGTCGATGTGAACGGATTGACACCAACCAGCCGGCGGAACCAGGTGTTCTGAATGTGTATCAAAGGGCACTGACCTCCGGGCTGAGTAAGTGCCCACTGAACACCGTCGACGATCACTGGTCGCATATTCGTCAAACGTTACTGTCAGCAGGCTTGTCTTCCTGTTGCAAATCAAATTGCCAACCTAGACATTGGGTCTCTAAACAGTCTCTGGAACTTATGAATGCTCACCGATGTATTCCGGCTGAAAGCGCATACAATGAGCCGCGCAAAACTTTCAGGGCAAAACTACGTGCTAGCCTGAAGAAAGAAAGGTCTCATTGTGCCTCGGAGATGGAAATAGCCGGTGCCGTTGGTAATCATTGTAAGTTATTCCATCTAATATAGGAAACAGGCAGCATGAGACCTGGTGTTAGCGAGACCATACGCGACGAGAGTAAGTAGCCGATCCACAGCTTGTCAAAACGCTTGGAGCGTTGGGCCGAACACTTTACAAAGCAATTTAACCAAACAGAGTTATCGCTTTCTTTTTCGGGCATTGAGTAACCTTCTCTCTGGGCCATCTGCTTTGATCCGCCCTCACGCGTAGAAGTCGAACGTGAGATCAGACTGTTGAAATTGCATAAAGCCGCAGGGTCAGATAGAATTCTCCCAGCTTTCTTCAAACTCGGGGGGACCTCCTCTAGTAGATCATTTACACGAATTGCTAGTGAGACTTTGGGAACAGGAGACTGTCCCGACAGACTGGAGCCGCTCCGTCATAGTCCCAGTTTTCAAGGGAGGCGCCCGTTCGTAATGCAGCAATCATAGAGGGATCAGTCTGATCTCAATTGACTCTACATTGCTTGCCTCTGTCATTCTCCATTGACTGACTAGCACCCGTGAAAGCCAGATGCCTGTAGAGCAAGCCGGGTTTCGTCGAGGTCGGGGCTGCATCGACCACATCTTCACCTTGCGTCAATTGTTGTAGCACCGCCATGTTTATTGGCGACCCACCGTTGTCGTGTTTCTTGACATAAAAGGTGCCTTCAACTCAGTCGATTGATGTGCTGTTTGGGACTGTCTGCTGAGGAAAGGTGTGCTTGATAACTACGTAAACATTATCGAAGCGCTGTACGCGCATAGTTCGGGCGGAGTGAGGGTTTATGGCAAACTGTTGCTACCCTTCAGTATCACCAGCGGTGTGACACAGAGTTGCCCGCTGTCGCCTTTTCTCTTTAACTTCGCTGTTGATGAAGTCATGGAAACAGCATTTGCTGGACACGACCTACAAGCTGTGGAGCTACTTCCTGGTAAGCGACTTTTTGACTTGGAGTACTCGGACGATATTGCCCGTCTCTGTTACAGCTCCCAAACATGCCAAGCAGCACTGGACCGATTAGCACTGGCTATCTATCGTTTTGGGCTATGCTTTGCTCCATCGAAATCCTGCGCTAACGCTTTGTAGTGATCAGCTGGAAGTCATTCAGGAATTCAAGTACCTGAGCAGCTATATTAGCGCCCGTGGAATCGAAGATGAGGTTACGAACCATATAGCAAAAGTTCGAGGTGCTTTTGCCAATCTCCGCCACCTGTTGCGCCGACGCGACATTACTTGCACCCTGAAGGGCAGAGTTTATAACGCAGCCGTCCGTTCAACTCTTTTATATGGTTGTGAAACCTGGCCCATCCGGTCGGCAGACATAAAGAGGCTCGTCATATTCGGTCCTCGCTGTCTTCGCGTCTTAGCTTATGTCTGATGGGAGCACCGCGTGAGCAATGAGCGTGTTCGACGTCGCGTATTTGGTGCAGTCAGATTAAGTGGCCCACTCAGCACCAGTATATCACGCACCAGGCTCCGATGGATGGGCCACGTGTTGTGCTTGCCAGTACACCGACACCCGCGACGTGCATTGTTTGCGCGTTGTGGGTGCGGTTGTAAGAGAAGGAGGAGAGACCAAGCGATGACTTGGTCGAGCGAAATGAAAACCCTCACTTTGAAGTTGGCGTCGGTTGGTGCATCCCGACTGCCTGGCTGGGGTCCGATGGACTTGCTGATATGGCTAGGAGCCGGTCCCGGTTGCGTTTGTGTTGTAAATTCCTTTGTCCACTCAACCCTCCTGGTTAACTTCCCCCTCGAATCACGATCGCATTCATTAGGCCTTACAACTTTTTGCGGCACGATAGCTGGCTGTTAGCCCTCCGGAAAGACGTCCATTCGTTATTGAGGACTCAGCCGGCGTGCCACTGTTCTTTTCTTCTTGTCTTCTGTATTGCGGCACCATAGCTAAGGTGTTCCCACCTACAGCTGACGTGTATAATGAATGAATGAATCATGAATCTTCTCAAATGCTTGCGCCGTCCTCATGCAGCTTTCCTTGGTCAACGGGCCGAGTCTCACCGAGTATGGCAAAGTCAATACGGTAGCGTGTGAGTTTCTTTGCGACCAATGTCATGTGCTACTCGGGGCGCTCGTTCGTGTTCCGGTCCAGTAATGTGCGCACGTTCCAGCATCTGACGTTCCGTGCTTTCCGCGGGGGCGCACGATTGCGCCGAGTGGTCATTTGGGGTGAGGAAGGTAATGGGGACAGGGAAAGGATAATGTGGAGTGAAAGGGGGAAGCAGAGAAGAAAGCAATGTGGCATCGGGGCTAATGTTTTCGCTTATCCACCTCGTTGTATGCATCAATTAAACTAGCCCCTTTCCCCCACTGTGCCACGGCCGATGCAGCGCGGGAGTATCTGTAGCTGCGAAATTCGTATTTATTATTCAGGCTGAAATACTTCCATGGCGTCAACCCCATAACAGGAGAACGACTCGGGACTTCAGCTAAATCCTTCGATAAAATATACTCTCGGAAAGCAACGGAATTGCGCCATGAGTCAATCGACTTGCGCGGATATGTGTGTCCTGATTTTAGCTAAAAGTGTGTAACCTAACTATTACCCAGCGGTCGCCACGATGAGTCGTCTATGACATGAGTGCACTGCAGAACTAGAGCAGCAGGTCAATAATCTGTCAAGATGTCGACACCGCAAGCCTCAGCGCGCCATGAACTCTCTCACCCGGGGGTTGTAAAAGTAAAACGGCGCTTTCGAAGGCTTTGCATCCAAATACATTCATAGACTGTATAAGAGCTACAATTGACAGTAATATCCTAGTTGTCCGAGTCATCAGACTAAACGCTTGGCGGTGCCGGAATATGATTGCCAGTTGCCATTGCGTGTTTCCCTTCCACCATTGGATTACATTTTATACCCCCTAAAGGAACGCATTCCTGATTGCTTTGAAAGAACATGTGTGATCGTGATTTTTCAGTTACACTATTAATTAGTTTGGTAAATTGATATTTCAGAAAAGATAAACAAACTTCAACTCGTCGACTGAAGTAGTTACAAATCAGATCGAAGGGAACGGAGCTTGGTAGTATGTGAATCTATGCATCACCTTAATCCTTCGTCTCATGGCGAGTGGTTCTATCAGCTAGTCGGTTGTGGTTTGTTCGATTTCTTCCTACACATATTCGATCCCAGATAAGGCTTAAGAGAAATCTCCGAGTTGCAGTGATGCTTTCATTTGACTTTCTTATTGATTGCTTGTCATTTAATGTAGTCACTATATCTACTTTTCTTTCATACTCTTTGCTACGGAACACAATTTTTTGATTTACTTCGTTTCAGGCCTTGGCCGATAAATGCATGTTCCAGACGTCCGATAGTGACACAAAGATCGCCGGCTTATATGATCTGCAACAAACAATTGGACGCGGGCACTATGCAGTTGTCAAGTTAGCTCGTCATGTTTTTACCGGCGAGAAGGTTGCTGTTAAGGTGATTGACAAAACTAAGCTGGATGATGTCGCACAAGATCATTTATTTCAAGAGGTCGTTTGCATGAAGCTTGTCCAACATCCGAATGTAGTTCGACTATACGAAGTGATTGATACACCAAACAAATTGTATTTGATACTGGAATTAGGAGATGGAGGAGATCTCTACGATTACATCATGAAACATGGTTGTGGTCTTCATGAAACAGTTGCCAAACGTTATTTTCGTCAAATCGTTACTGCGATCGCTTACTGTCACAAATTGCATGTAGTTCATCGGGATCTAAAGCCGGAAAACGTGGTCTTTTTCGAAAAGTTGGGTATTGTTAAGTTGACCGATTTTGGATTCAGTAACCGCTTCACTCCTGGAAGAAACCTGGAAACTGCGTGTGGTTCTCTAGCCTATTCAGCACCAGAAATTCTTCTCGGAGATTCCTACGATGCTCCAAAGGTCGATATTTGGTCACTCGGCGTGATACTGTATATGTTGGTATGCGGCCGACTTCCTTTTCAAGAACTAAACGATAGTGAAACGCTTACAAAGATCATGGATTGTGACTACACTATTCCTGATTATTTGTCACCTGAGTGTGTCAGTCTCATTAGACGCCTACTTATTCGGGACCCCAACACACGTGCTGGTCTGGATGATGTGCTTCAGGCCGATTGGTTGCAACTCGATGATTCCGACCATTTTCCCATTGAGGTGTTTTCCGTCCCTTTGGTGTCGCGTGAATGTCTCTCATTTGAGGACCATATGGAAATCTTATCAAGGATGTCCGAGGGCCATTTAGCCAGTGTAGAGGAGATACAATCCACTCTTGATAGAAATGAATACAACCACATCGCAGCCACTTACTTTTTACTTGCTGAGCGAAAGCTGAAACGGAACTACATTGAGCAATATAGATTGCTCTCCCAGCAGGCTCAGATGAATGAAACACTGAGACAACAGCAGTTGCAAAGCCGCCCACAGCAATGCCTCGGTGGTCCTGGTCGTCAGTGGACTACGCAGTATAACGAAATGTCTGGGAAGGCAGTCAACTGCGCTTCCGTTGTATCTACTCCAGCACGCCCAGCCAGTGCGACGAGCACCACCGTCACCACCACCACCACTCAGCCCGTAGAGGAGCGTGTTCGTCGGTTCAGCATGATACTCGAGGATGAGGAGGAGGAAGAAGAGGAGCAAAAGCCTACCGCTCGTTCGACTTTCCGTCGTTATTTGACTGAAGAACACAGAAGCATTGCTTCGTCACACATTGTAAGTCCGGAGAATAACGGGTACCAACACCCTTTGTCTGAAAGTTCCAGTGAAGCCATGCTTGAAGAGGAAGAGGAGGAGCTTTTGACTGTGGCCAACCTGGCATCAGTTCGTTCCGACTTTGTGGAACAATCTGGGTTGATTACCACGAGCATATCTGCTGGTTTCACTGACCATACGCATTGCCCGACTCTTTTGACAAGACCATGCTCTAGGACCAGTGGTTCGGGTGTCGAAGCCTCCGATGGTGGCGAGTCGGACGCCTCACTGAGTAATTGGAGTGCTGCTGGAAGTTTTGCGAGTCCGGCGTTTATACTTTCTTCAGCTGCCAGGTCGTTACCGCTTGTGGAAATTCGCCGCAAGCCGCATTTTCGTCGTAGCGGTTTTCCTCACCGACCTCTTATTACCGTCAGAAGCAGCCCACAGCTGTTAAAGCATATAACTGAGGAAGAGAACAGTGCCGAATTTGCTACTACCAAGCTTGGCGTTGAATTCGAGGCTATCGCCTCTTCGTTGGTTTCAAAAAACACTTTATCTAGTGACAGCAGTGGAGCACGTTCGTTGCGAACTTCCTTTAATGTTCGAACGAATGTAACACCACTTGACGACAATGCTGTAGGGTTGCGGTCCCGTCTTTCATGGTCCGGCCAACGTCCCTTATCCACAACTCATAGTCCCACTCGCACCAGACGCTTTTTCACCTCCACGAGTTTCTCCGCACGTCCGACAAGCATTGAAAGCTGGAACACTGCATTTAATATGAGCTTGTTGCATGAATTTCGGCGGCGTTCTGTCTGTTCGTCGCCTGTGGACCAGACAGCAGCGACGACACTGCGTCGAAAGACCCAAGTCTCCCTGCATCAGGCGCAGAGTCAGAATACAGGTAACCGTCACCAATTGAAAGACCGCCGCTGCAGTGGTCCCCCTAATCTCGTAACGACGATGTCCAATTTTTATCCTTTGAATACCTCAGCACCCGCTCCCAGCCACTCCGAGTCAAACACGTCTGTCAGAGATCCAGCAGAACTTCCTGAGCAGTTGAACGAGTTGAACGAATTCACTGGTGACCAGGTGAAATTCTTTTGCGGTAGTGAATGTCCTGGAAGCTCCTCTTCAACTGTCAACACTGAAAATTTCACCCATTCGCGTGCACTAGAAAAGAGCCCCTCTAATGGCTATGTGCCATCCAAAACACCTCATAAAGGTGCTCCGAGACCTGACAACAATTCCCCAGCCCATTCGTCATCAACATCACAATGGCGCGGCACTGCTCGCTCTCCTCATCGATCATTCAGCCCAATCCAAAGAATGACCACTTGGTCTAGTTCAAGTCCATTACTCTATGCCACAGATACAAAGGTTGGTGTTGATATGTACAGTGTCGGACCCAAACCTACTTTTGCATCACTCAACTCTGCTACCACAGCTGGACCGGCTCTCCCAGCACCACCCGTGGTGTCCAGTTTGCGGGAGTACTGTGCGCCTATACGAGAAGAAGATGAGGCCCAGCGCCCAGCGGACTATCACAGTACGTCTATTGAACAACATTCCATTTCTACTCAAGCCGAATCACAATCGCCCGTCGTTTGCCTTGGTTTCTCCACTGCATCAACTGCCCTGAATACGAAGCGCACGTCGGAGCTTGAGCCCCCGTCGACCAGTGATCCTCATTCCACTTTTCCCATGGGATCGGCATCCTCATCCACTTCTGATAGATCCGGCCCAGTCTCTCGTGTAACAACTTCAGCTTTCTCACTCAGCTCATTGGCAACTACTCTCCGTGATTCAAGGCACATGCTGGACGTCATTCGCGGTACTTTCGAACTACAATGCCACTACAACAAACACTCTGGTGGATCTGTTGCCGATGGAAGCAGCGGTGGATATCCATCTGGTCGTGCCAGCGCTTCCGCATCCGTTCGCAGTTTGACCGCCATATGTGAAGCTCTTCCGATTAACACTGGGCTCACCGGTGATGTACCCACTTTCTCTTCACGTCGCCTACCGTTCATCCGCACTGGTTTGTCCCATGACTCCTCCAAAACTGGCTCTGTAGTACGTGCCTTAGCACCTCGAAGACATTCCGGGTTATTCCCCACTGGGCCATCAAGCTCTGGTTTCCAAATTTCGCGCCCCGGGAATTACAACATAGATCCTTTCAGCAATCCTTCTGAGATGCTTAATGAATTCGAAGTTAATCGGTTCAATTATCGCAGCGCCTCGGTAGAGCGACAACCAAATCTTCTGCGCGATCAAGTCAACTTTGACAAGGTTGATGTTACACCTCCGCAAAATGGTCCAACTTTCGCGCCTGCACATTCGGCTTCGGCACAGCATCCTTCAAAAGTGTTAAACGCAGCGGCAAATCGACGCCCTATCGATGATCTGCGAATGTCTACCTCATCTGACCTCTGTTGGGAACCGGATTCCTCATCCATTCAACCTTCAGATCCATCGGTCTGTGGGGGCTCTGCTCGCCTGGTGGGCTTTGGTCCAGATGGGGATCTTAACTTAATTACTTCATGCAGCTTTCGAAGTTGGGGTGCTGATGGCATTTGTCGTAGACCGATTAACATTAATTTTGTCAATGAGCATGTCGTCAATGATAACAATAAAAACAATAATAGCAGCATTAGCACAATCGTCAGAGGATGTGAAGCAACGTTTTTATCCACAACTGAAAATCAAGATCTTATTCCAAGGCAGTTTCCTTCCAGTCTCGCCGTGAAAGGTAGTGCGAGGTTGAAGTGTTGCACACTCTCTTAACCTGCATGCATTCTATGTCCCTGTCGCTTCCGGACCGGGCTCCAGCGTCCTTCAGTGTCTACGCCCCTGGCTCTAGTCTTTCATCACCAATAAGTTCTGTTTTTCTAATCATTACTCTTTTAAATCGGTCTCAATTTCTCCACTTCCCGTATTTTATTTTATTTACGCTTCGTATGTGAATTTCCAGTGTTCATCCTCGACAGCGCTTTTTGGTTCTATACAGCGCACCACATCCATCTTTACTTTTTTTCAAATTAATCTTACCTCTGTACATAATCATCTATTAGTAGCACATGCATCGCTTCACTACTGAACGTTTAATTTACGGTGCCCTGCGCATTTGCATTGACCATCTCCAACTTCTCGCTCCAAACGCTAGGTTTTGCGCGCTGTACTCCTACCTCCTCCTTTCACCGGACTGAACCCATCCTGCGCGCCTTCACTCCCTTCAGTAACAATCGGGACTAAGTATTTGTCCCTCTCTTACCCTACATGTCTTGTACAAATACCTCTTTCAATCTGAGTACCTAATTGGATATGAAAATTTTAGAGTATCTCTTTTAATGTGTCTTTGTACGAGGCGCGCTTCGATTTTGCGCACGGATTCACCTGAGCACCTTCGGTATTCTGAACAGGTGTTGAGCTTCGACAGGCAATTTTGACGATGCTTAGTCCCAAGTTAAGAATTTGTTGCTATAGATTCTATAGAAGTTGCTCTGCAGTTTACTAGATTACACGGCATTTCGTGACCAGTGAATGTCCTTACTGTGTACGCCGTTCGTAAAACGGTCTCCTTTTTGAGATGCGGCACAAGTTCTCGCCGTCGCAACCTAACTGGAACCCTTCGCAATGTGACTGGGCCTTAGTGTGGTGCCACGGTTTGTGTACCTCTTCGATCCATTGAGCTATACTAGATGGTGCTCCCGAACTCTTGGGGAGCCACTCTTCACGGTGGTCAATGCTTAGAAGTCAGACGAATTCCGTCTCCTGGTTCTCTAGGTTGAGCGTTGAAAATGTGATAGCGTCCATCTCTGTAAAACCGAATCGCTGCCTCCTGCATACAGCAGGGTACATAATCCAAAACGTTTTACTGCGGATACCTCCTTTCTCTTTCACTTTTTTTAATCTTACTCCCCTTCCGACCCTCATCATTATCTTTCAGTCTATAATTCCTAGCTTAATTGATAGCAACCGCAATGCCATCGCAGTTCTACCATCTGAAGTTACCTTCCTGCATCACTTACTGAATTCCCACCGACAACAACCCATTATAAGGCCATGCTGTATCGTTTCCTTGGCGGCGTTCAGAGTTCACAAACAGGTCAACAGATTGCACTCACACGCTTTCTATACTCTAAGTATTGACGTATGTTGCGTATCAGAAACTAGGATCAGTGAATCTCACATAGTTGCCGAACTAACTGCACCCCGCTTGTTCTACTACTATTCGTTGCACACATCTGAAGACGCTGATGCATCGACCACTGGTCAACCTGGTGTGGACATCGTTCTCAGGTTCAAGGCGGACTAATCTCTATTTGATTGGATCCCTGTGTGAAGCGCGTGTGACGACGTTAGCTAAGCTTGCTTCGCGAAGTAGCACATGACGCTGTTTGTGGTTGCCGCTTGTGTCCCCCACCAACTTTACTACTGATGCTGCTAAGAACGTACTGAACACGTTGCTACATAGCGTTACCATTACGGATGTCGTTGTTGCTGCGCGGGATATAAATGCGCATATAGACCGTCTGAGCCCTTCAGAAGCTCATTTCAATTTCAATTTAAACAACTGTGCTCTGGTTACCGAGGTGCGGTGGATCAGTTGCCACGACTCACGCCACTAGCATAACAATAACTAGCAACTACAGCAAGATGAGGTTGAATGTAAATATAATGTGAAGAAATGGAATCAAGTAAGTGGTGCTTAGATCTACTCGAGATGAACAATTAACGGCTAGCTACGAGAAACGGAATGCATGTGTGCCACTGTCTGTGCGACCTCGCCATGTCTGATATTGTCTCTAGCCACTAGTATGGACCATCCATGAAGACGCCTCAAAGGCTCGGCTAGGTAATAAGTATATGCTTGACTCCGGACGGACATCAGCGAACGCCTGTTGCAACTATGTGCTTTTTTAGCAGTTGGCTTCTAGCCACAGTGTGCGCCTAAGTGCCATTTGGCGTCCACTTATTGCTATCCAACGATGGACTCAGGTACATCACGTTTTATAAGTTACAGTTGGCGCGGTTCCATCCTGAATTAACGCTCGTTCTAGAATACTGGTGTCGACTCTGGTTATGCTTTTGTACACTGTCGTTTCTCCACTTGCTTTGCCGGTAGGCGTACTAAGCGTCGATTGGCAACTGAGTAGTTCTCGCAGCCTTCTTTCAGGCAAGCATAGCGAACTATGATGCTGTCGCCCCACGAAAATCGGACTTCAGTGGAATAGAATCTCAGTCGCCATGTACAACATGGGAGCTTCTGCTTGCGGTACCCTTAGGCTTCACCGCACTAGTCACTGGATATTCGAGCAGTTATTGAATCTGTTTGAATCCAGATGAACTGCTAACTCTGAGCACAATTTAACCAGACAGACTTTTATTTGCGAAATAAAGCCTGTCGACAACTCTGGTTTATCTTCCAACTAAGCCGTCCCACTAATCCCTGTGGTCCCACTAGCCTCAATGAAACAATTATAAGCCACGCGGGTGCCCTGATTCACACTAAGGAGCGCCGTATGGATCATTAGGCGGAGCACTTTCACCGTCAGTTAAGTTCGCTGTCTCTTTCGGACCCCTTCTTTTCTTAGGTGTTGCAGGCTGTCATGGCCGGTTAAGTTTAGTGGCACTGTCGGGGGCTGAGGTACGAAGTGCGACCGCAACCCCTAATCATTTTCATGTTACTATTCTGGATTCCGTTGCACCCGAACTATTTAAGAATGGTTGTAAGGTCCTCGGCAAAGCGCTGGATATGGAAGGAAGAGGCCATCCTAGCTAACTGGAATGAATCGATTATAGTGGCAGTATACAAAATGGGCAGTCGTACCGAGTGCTATCCGCAGGCGTGTTAGTCTAATACCGATTATCACAAATCACTAGCCTCAATTCTTCAGTGGTTGTGGTGTTCGCCGAGCTGAGCAACTGGATTGCGAACGTTTCTCTACTATTCGAAGTGGCATCGTCAGTTCAGGATTGATAGCAGTCAGGTAGCAGGAGCTGGTAGAAGCGAACTCCATTCTCGTTCATCGCTTCACTGTGGAACGGGAATGCCGTATTAGGGAAGAGCAAGCATGTATCCCCCTAGGACGGGCCTGAATAGGTCATATATGCGCTCTGCGGTAGGTGCTAGAGCAGCGCCACACGCCGACAATAGCTGTGTTTCTGGACTTCAAGAGTGCGTTTGACTCAGTCGATCGATTCTTTCCAAAGTACTTGCCTGGCGAAGCGTTCCCATGAAATATGTGGACGTTTTACGTACTCTATACTCGAACCCAACAGGTCGAGTCAGAATCTGTGGAGGCTTATCAGATTCCTTTCCGACGATAAGTGGCATTCTCCAGGGTTGCCAAGTTTCCAAACCTCGTCGTTGATTCCATTATGGAGTATTCCGTTGCGGAGCTTCACGATACAAGCGTTGAGGTGTTACCTGTTGAATAACTATTTGATCTTGATTATCCGGACTATATTTTCTTATTGTTTGACAGTCGCGAGTTGTTTCAGTCAACTATAGACAGACCCCCTAGAGTAGTCCCATTATTCGGCATGCACTTCGTACCTTTAAAGTTCCAACTGTTGTTGAAAGATTACCAGTCGCTTGAGGATCTCTTGATAGAGAATTCAAAGCGATTGATCAATTCATTTTCCTCGGCAGCAGCGATGGATGTGTGGCCGCTGTAGTCAGTTCACGTATTGCAAATGCTTGAACTACCTTTAATCCGAAACATTGTGGCATCAGAAAGTGGTTCCCCTCATTGTGCGAAATCTGCGTATACGGGACCACGGTGAGAGCTCTGCTGCTCTGTGAAAGTTTCAGTCTGATAATCTGATGCGCCTTCAGGTCTTTGATCATCACTGCCTGGTGTCGAATGGCACCAGCATGGCTACAGCAATGATGTGCGTGCTAGGCAGTGACAATCAGTCTAGTTCCTCCGAACAACAAAGATGTTGAATTAGTTGCGTTGACTCAGACACGTACTGCGTATGCCAAGTCACCACTTATCGGAGATAGCCTTGTTTGGTTTGCTAGACGCAGGGTGGAGCTAGCCCCGAGGTGGATAAAAGTTAACTTAGCATTGGGAGGTGAAGTCGTTGACGACTAGCCTAGAGGCTGTTTGTCCGTCTCGCCTTTCAGACTAGAGTCCATGTGATTCACCTTGTGCTTGGCTCGAGACATCATAGGCCACGGCTCGCACTCGGCATCAGTGGCGCGTCTGCTGTTGTTTGCTAGCCGGACTGCCTGTTTATAGTATGTCTGGTGTTGTGTTATCTGCGGGATAATGGTTGATTATGACGCGAGTCTGTGGGATCCACAAGGAAGCTGTCTCGCCGATGCTGCCTTATTTTGCACCATAGCCAGCTGTTTGTGGCCGTATGTTTTCGACAAGCTGCAGGCGCGTTGACCCTTATTCTTTGCTTAGGGAATTTTAGGTTTCATGCTAAGTCACCTTAGGGCAGCGAAGGATCAATTCAAATGACTGATGCACTGCTGTTGGTAGTGATGGCAACGACGACAATGTAGATCGTTATGTGCAACATCCACTTGTGCAGCGCCATTTCGCAAGATGCGATAGATGGAAAACACCCACATGGCACCATTTCCATATCTTGACCACACCCATCGGTGTTACAGCACAGACTCTGAGCGAGAGGAAATACATATTCTTGGAAGGTATTGGCCGCGTTACTTAGTAGTTATCATTTCTTTCTGGCTGTTTTCGGGACCTGAGCTTGAATCCGGCGACCGCTACACCACGCCACGTGCTCGAGACTGGATGACCCTAGAGTGTCCCATTCGGTCACAGCATTTTATGTTCGCGCGGTGGTATAAACTCTTCTTTGCAATGGATGCTGTTGTGTGCTTCCTCCATAAGTTCGTCTCGTATAATGCCTTTTCCTAAATCCTGTGAGTCTTCCATTCTTTATTTCCTTGTGAACCTACGAAACGTGTTTTTGTGTGCCATCCATTCTCCACTTTTTGATCATGTTAGTTCGCTGTTTGCCGCATTTCAGTGCAGGAAGTTTTCCATCCAATTCAATTAATCGGTTTCATGCTTCATTGAATAAAAGCTTTCTAAGCATGTCACAACGCCAAAATTTCCAAGAATCGGTCGAAAACAGCGATAACCGCATCTCACCATTTTGCACGGTTTCACTGTGGACTGCATGCGCTCCGACTCCAGACCGGTCGCTGTAGTTTCGTGTTTACGCTCTTTCCCCTTGTCATCGGTTGGCCACGTTGAGATTTCACTCAGCAAATACCGTGGGCTGAGATAGGCCTTTGACGGACATGATGTACGCATAATACACAATTCAACTTTAATTTTGGCTTGGTTCGTGTGAGAGCG